CTCCCTCCCCCATCCTCCCTCCTCAAGCTACGAATCCTCGTGGCTCCCTCCCCGCACCCCCTAAGCCGCCCTCCCCCCCGAAGCTACGATTAAAGCTATTAAGACTTTCTGATTCCCATACCACCAATCCGTTATTCATTTTTCTAACAAATATGAAGGAAACGAATGCCCAGTTTCTTACAGTCTTTGGCCATCATTGCTGTGTCGTTTTGCTGTATAACTGTATCGTCTGAATCAGCTTATTATGAAAATATAAGAAAATTTGTGGGCTTTATAGCTTGTTAGTTACTGCCTGTTACCACTTCACTACCTCAAACATGCCCTTTGTCGAATGCTGTACGATCCAACGTGTTTCTCATTATTTTTTGTGCTTCAGGTAAGCTTTGAACAATTGTCAATCCATCATTTTTGCCCTAGAAGCCTTCCTCGGACATCGGCATGCTTTGGAAAAACACACTTTGCAAAAACTAAGTAATTCTTTCCCAGTAAAATCCCAATCTGAAAACCTCATCGTGGTGTGGGAGTAATAATGGACTAAGCAGAACCGAGAAATGAGGAGGTACAATCCTTACAGCTTCAAGCACTGTAAAGGCACTGCGCCGCATTTGTCCGGCTAATTGTGCCGAACCACAAAAACAAAGCAAGTCAACGAAATCTTGGTTGATGCTTGGTGCATCTTCAAGGACATTTCTGCCGTAACTTTTCAATACGGAAAGCAACCATAGCACGTTGCAAGCCAGAATACATATCATTCCGGCTCCGAAAAGAAGAAACCACATGTGGCAAGTCATCGTAACTGGCTCACAGAAATCGAGAGTGAGAAGATGAAACGACAAGTCGAGAATACCAACTGAATCATGACGCAAATATTGAAAAACCATAAATGAATTTTTGATAAGATTCTCCAGTGGTGATCAAACTCTAGGATCACCACAGCCACAAAAATGTTGTTAAAGAAAAGAAGAAACATGAAAAGGGGAAAAAACAAAACGCGGAGTGCCCCCTTCTATGCAAGCATATTAGTGGAAGCTGAAAGAGGATCTCAAAAACTACCATTTTCGACAGAAGGCAAAAACGATTCAAAAAAAGCAGAGCCTGAAGAAATGCAAGAGAGAACTGCTGCCACACCATAATGCCAGCACTGAAGGAGAGAAGCGGTTGTCGGGTAACAAATCGAACAGATATGGGGGACGTCTCTAGGAAATTCTACATAATTCTGCTTGCATCACGCACCGACATACCAGTACCTGCGGTTCACGCCACCAAGCAGCAGATCCCTCCAGTACTCGCCGGCGAGGTAAGACATGCAACTCTTCAAACGAAAAAAGAAAGGCTCCCGGAAGTGATGGTATTAACACCGAAATGACCAGACCCGAAGACACGAACTTTGGAAAACTCAAGCCATTCGATCCAGTTTGTAGCTGACCGAAAATTTAGCATCTGGAAGGAGTCGAAAACCGTTCTACTGTACAAAAAAAGTGTTAAGGAAGACATGAAGAATTACCGCCCGATCTGTTGTATTTACAAACTTTTTACGAGGATTATCAATAATCGACTAATAAAACTCCTCTGTGAACAACAGCCGAGAGAGCATGCTAGATTCGGAAGCAATTATAGCACGATGGATCACAAATTCACTTTGAATCAGCTGATAGAAAGTGCAAAGAAGTACTGTCTCCAGCTCACTAATTACGAAGTGTTCGATAACGCAGAGCTGACCTTGTAGATGAACGCACTGACCGGAACTGTGTGAACAGCAAACAAAGGCTGTTCGACTGACACAACACTTTTTTCCACTTCAATCCGCATACCGAATGACAGGAAAGTAAGGCAAGATGGTCCTGTATCGCCCAAGCCTTGAAATGGTAATAAGTAAACTGGACTAGAAGGGTGGTCTGAGCCGTTAAATCACTTGCGTTTCGCGGATGATACAGTTCTTATTGCCAACAATCTCCACGAAATAAACGAAATGCTATAGGGGTTCAACGCATGAGGGAAGTGGGTCTGAAAATCAACACATGGAAAACGAAGGTGATGTAAAGTCCTGGTTATGCCTGCAGCAAGATTGCAGATAGACGGTGTGGACTTGGGCGAAGTTGACAGTTACGTTTATTTCGGACAACTGAATATGCGACACAACTTCCCTCTGGCGGCTGCAAGTGGAAGGGCTGCTAGTTGGCACAGATTCTACAGCATCATCGATATCCTCAATGTGTTGAACCGGAACGACCGTGCCCATCTCTTCAACACCGCTGTGTTGAAGGAAGTGACATATGGATGTGAAATGTGTTCAGTGAAGAAGGCTGAAGAACAAGCGCTGGCTGTGATGGAGAGAGCGATGGAGCGGGGGATGCTTAACGTATCTTTCTATAACCGTATAAACAATCAAACTCTTCGTCAGATGAACAGCATGCAAGATATCATTACGAGTAAAATCCGATGGGCAGGCCATGCTGCTCTCCTTACTGACAACCGGTGGACAATGCGCGAGAAAGTATGATGAGTGGTATTCCGAGAAAGCAAGTGGTCACTCAGGCGACCCCCGAAACAGGTGGCTCACATACATGAAACAGGCTGCAGGTGCTAATTAAAGGTATGCAGTCCTAGACCGAAAAACCTGGCATGGCTGCGCTTGTGTGTGGAAAAAAAGTACTTTAGTCCTACACTGATAGGCCGAGCGGTCATGGTATCCTTGATCTGTGTTTTCTGTGCGGCATAAAAAAAAACTTCTTACGTATATAGTTCCATATAACGGGCAGGCATCATTGTCTGCCGCGCATAGACTTCCTTGAGTCCAACCTCCATGTCACTCCAAATATCCTCGATTGTCGGCATATTGCGAAGACCCATTTTATGGACAGCGGTACTATGTGCTTTTGGTATAGATCTCTTGCGCGTACTCCCTGTTCTCATTAAAGAACAATCGATTCGTCAATTTAGGACTGAAAACGATAAACTGAACTGGAAATACAAAATCGGGGCGATAGGTTGAAAAAAAAAAAAAAAAAAAACAACTACAATACCTGAAAAAGTCAGCACTTTAACCATAATAATTAATTCTTGCAAAGTTCGCATTTTTTTAAGCCATCAGAACTGCTCTAACTATCAACGTGCTTCTTCCCTCTTCCTAACCAATGGTGCAGCACAACTTCTAGGATATTAATATTAGGTCAATATATAATAGGATGAAAATTTGGAAGAGCGATAGAAGCCCAGCCAAAACTGGTCATGCCAAGCAGGGTTGACAGGAAGGTCAGAGCTGTAAAGTGGTATAATTATGCGGCCGTAAGTAGGCTGAAGTTTACCAATATATGTCAGTACAAAGGACTCAGGTGATAAAAAAAAGCAAAGCACGCTGAAGAATGATAGTAACCCAATGCCTATCGGTAAGATTATTTGATTTATCCATACAAGATTAAGGTGCAACCACATGCAAGCCCTCCTGGTTCAGTTTCAGAAACCATGCAAGTCCTCCTGGCCATGTGCAAGTCCTCCTGGTTCAGCCACATGCAAGCCCTCCCGGTTCACTTTCAGAAACTACAGGGCTACGCTGTTGCCCGGGGATGTCGCATTACAAGGCTATCAATTTTTCTAGCAAGAAGCGTAAAATCGCAATTATACCGCATACCATCAGTTTGCCGGTAGAAATGAAGACGCCATCAGCAGGAGGGCAATTTAAACTGTTCTTTTTCGCTGAAAATTTGCATTTCGGAGAGGCTATCACAGTTCCGAGCCGAAGTATCATCAGACGATATTCGCAGGAAGAGGAAGGCTATTCGAACCAACAAGACGTGGGCAGTGGCTGGAAAAATGCAGGTGAGGGCTGGAACGATTGCGCAACTGCACTTGGCGCGCACAGGCACCTCCGGCGATGGCAATAATATCAAAATTTTCTTATCGACCGCCCAATCAATTCGCAGCAAACATCTCCCTATTATAGTACCAGAAAAAGGTTTTTCCATAAAATCTTACCGAAGCTTACTTATCTAATAGATAATTCAGCAACAGCCTTTTTATGCCTATTGTACCATGCAACAGTTACACAAAACGCATATTGTCACGAGATTGTCTGTGCGTGCGTTTGTGTGCGTGTATGTGTGTGCGTGTGTGTGTGTGTTTTTGCGTGTGTGTGTTGTGCCCGATGCATCTTGCCCGCAGCTATCTATTTGGGAACCACAACAGCTACGAAAATGGAAATTTAGAGGTATGTTCCCGCCCATGTGTAAACCCGCAAATTTAAATTCAGTTTCCCTTTGCCTACGGGCAACACGTACGGTCTCGTAAAATTTGGCGGGAAAGTTACTGCCACAGGAACCACGGAAGCCAGGAAACTGAAATTTTATGGGTATGTCCCCTGCTCACGTGCGACCCAAATTTTTTAAATTTAACCTTCCCGTGCCTATGGGTAACACGTGCGGCCCCGTAAAAGTTTTGTCGGGAAAATTATTATCTGGGGGACTACGAGATTTAGGAAGTTGAAATTCTGCGGGACTCTTCCCTGCTCATGTATGACCCCTCAAATTTAAATTCAGCCTCCCTGTGGCCGCGGGTAACATATAGGGCTCGTGAAATTTTTGGTAAGCTAATTATTATCTCAGGAACTACACAATCTAGGAAGCTGAAATTCTGCGGTAGTGACCCCCTGCCCATGTACAACCTCGCAAATTCAAATTCAGCGTTCCCATTCTCTCGAGTATCATCAACAGCCTCGTGAAAATTTTGGCGAGGAAACTGCTAGCTCGGGAGCCATAAAGGCTGAAATTTTATGGTAATGTCCCCTGCCCACATACAATCCCTTCAAATTCAGCCTTTCTGCGCCTGGGTATCACTTATGGCCTCGTGAAAGTTTCGGTGGAGAAAATTATTATGCCGGGAATCACGAAAGTTAGGAAACTGAAATTTTGCTGTAACATCTCCTGCCTATGCGTGAGTTCGCGAATTCTTAAAATCCCTTTGGAAATTTTGGCGGAAAAAGTCATTATCTCAGGAGCCAGAAAAACTAGAAGGGTGAAAATTTCAGGACGAAGTTTTCTGCCTAACCAGGGGTTTCACAAAGTCGAATCCAGTTCCTAAGTAGGTCTTATGTACGACCAAGTAAATGTTCACAACAATCACTCGACAGTCAGAAAATTAAGAGATTGAAATTTTGAAACAATACTCACTCTTCGAGGCTTCAAATTCAGCTTTCACGCATCGTCGCATGAAATTTTTAACCGGAAATCCAGAAAGTTAGGAACCAGACAATATTTCAACTATTTTTGCACAGACCAAAGTGTAAAGCAGTGAAAATCATTAGCAGGCAATCGTTCAATGGATGGAGTTGCACAGAACGCATAACTGCACCATCCTGGTGCGCGCCGCTATTTATTTTAAAATACAGCCTAAGATATGCACTTTTTTTTTGCATTAAATTTTTTTGTATACAGTGCAAGAGGAATTTAATGCAAATTACCACGTTTAACGCAAACTACCACGTTTTTCACCCGCTTACTTTCTTGCCGACCCATTGGCTGCACAGTATCAAAATCAAAGAAATTTTAACCCGGTACCGCCACGTAGAATGTCAGGCCAAGTTCGGGACCTTTTTCGTGAACAACTTTACTACCAGGAATTAAAACATGCCAGAGAATCTTTTAAGGCATCTTTGAATTCAACAACTGATTTTAGGCCTTTTACTCTATTCTGCTTGGCTTAATAACTGCATCTGCTTTTAACGGTCAAAAAATCAATTTGAGTTTAAATCTCAGAACCCTTTTCGTTTCTTCCGATTTACACCTTTTTCATCTATTTAATTCTTACACTTCACTAAATTATATTGTTATCACAGTCGTCGTACTGACGAGGTCCAACTGTGGCAACGGTAAGAAATGTATACGACTTAATGGACC